TTTAGTTATTTGAACATTATCAAAACACATAAGCAATAAAATCTCTAAAATAAAGAAAAATGTTCATATAAGAGTCAGGAATATTCATATTTACTCACAAGATGGGAAGCAATTTCTGTTTAGCTGAATTTAAAGAGGGCTGTGGGGTACACGTTTGCTTTGTGATTCATGCATCCACATTATGTGCAGTCATTTCATGTGTTCTTGAGGAAATGTTGCACTTCTACAGAACCTATAGGCAAAAAACATTTTATCTTTCATTACCCAAGCATTATGATTTTAAAGTCGTTGCTTGTAACTTAATATACAATCAAGAGTGACTTCTAAAGAAGAAGAAACCAAAGATAATACTAGTTTACTAAACTATATCTTTAAGTATTTGTGAGCTAAAATAATGTTAAAGCAAATTTTCTTCTGTTCTCTTGTATTTTCATATCTATTTGTGTACAATTCTAGGAAAATACCTCATTAAACTTAAAAGAAGAATATCAGTTGACAGTATTACTAGGTGTTTGTTATTATCAATAACTTTTAATTTCAAAATGCTAAAAGCTCAAGTAGATATTCTGTCCATGCATAGCTAGAACACTAGTAAAAATGACAACACTAGCATTTCATCAGCTCTGGTCTATAGCAGGAGAATGGCTTTCATGGCTTTTCTCATTCAGTCCTTACAACAATCCTATGAAGCAGGCAGTGTTATTACCCACATATACATCACATCAACGGTCTGCCTATCACCCAGCTAGAATGTGGGAGAGCTGGGCTTAGAGGCTCAGCCTTCTAACACCTCAGGAGAGGCTCTCACCGCAACCCCCGTACAGGGTCACAGAGGCCACATTCGAGAGGAACAGGTGGTCTCAGAAATAACCACTTAGCCTTTCCAGATCTTACAAACTCACAGTCCAGTGCACAGCCATCTTGCACATCTAGATTGAATTAGATTCCACCCTTAAAATCAAGGGATGGCAGTTTTTGTCCTTTTATAGGACAGAAGGCAAAGCCTTCAGAACAAAGTTTTTCTTCAGTGTTGCAATATCTACAAATACAGCTGCAGCTGATAGTTCAAGGTGAGCCACTCTGATGGGTGGGCCATTCTTGTGTGCCAGCAATGGAGAAATAGGATGAGGCTGCAACCAGTTATTGTTGCCTTTTAATTATAAATGTAACTATTAAAAGAAACAAATGTTAATTAAAGCCTAGTGACCTTAGTGTGACTATTACCCCTAGGAGCAAATACGTGCTGTTAATCTAACTCCCTTGTTCTCCCGCTTTCATTGCTCTGTCCTGTAGGGCTACTGGGTGAACCTCAGTGTGAAAGCACGTCTTCCACTGCCCTTGCCTCTCCTCTCCTCCATGCCAGGTTCTGAGACTGCATGTCAGTGCTGGGCACGGAAACATACTGGTGGGGCTGATTTTGTAACTCTGCGTTAATGAGCACCTTCTCTGAGTTCTTCTAATTTCAGCAATGAAGAATCAACTTTCATCAATGCTTGTTTCATCAATCTTCTTAACATGACACCGTCTCTGCCTTTCATAATCTGCATTCTTAAGATTTATTTCTTAATTTTTCCTATGGCACAAGCTGAGCACTGCATCAAACACAGTTGTGGGGGAGTGTCCTAACGCTGTGCCTCTTACTCGCACCCCTGTTAGGAGCCCCCCCCTTCCTGTTCCCCACCTCTCTCAGCTTTGCTGTCTCTTCTCTCATATCACAAAAGATTCAAAGCGGATTTGTATTCACTGAGGCCTGTCAGCTGCCTCCAAACTTTATCCAAGGTAATTTTTCCCTTTCTATACATTTCTAACTACTTTAATGGAATAGGACATATTTTTATTTATAATGGATTCTCTATAGCCATTCATATTACTGTCTCTTCCATGTTTATTTTATTTTCTAAGTACTCTGAGATTTTCCCTCAGAGGCCTACTACCCGGAGCACACATTATGTGCAAGAAAAGAAGCAATGCCATAGCAGAAGGCTGTGGTTAAAACCAACTTCTTAGAAACAAAGCAAATTTCATTCCTCTGGCTTATTTTCTTTTTTCATATTCTTAATATTTGTCTATTTGTTTAATTTATGACTATGCATTACTCAAGTAATACATGATTATAAACTTTTTAGGTAAATTAAAAATCCTCTTTCTCTATTCTGCCCAATCCTACTAATAACCCACCCATTAAAAACTGGATTCAAGCCCTGGCTGGTGTGGCTCAGTGGACTGAGCACTGAACTGCAAACCAAAAGGTTGCTGTGTTGATTCTCACTCAGGGCACCTGTCTGAGTTGCAGGCCAGAGGCAACCACACATTGATATTTCTCTTTCTCTCCCTCCCTTCCCCTCCCTCCCCTCTCTCTAAAATAGATAAACTCTTTTAAAAAATAAATTTTAAAAAACAGATTCAATAAGAAACAATGCACAGGCTTCATTCTGCATGAATGTGTGTGTATGTGAGGCATAATGGTGGTCACAACCTGAGTTTGTAGAATCATCTGTAGTTAAGAAGATTTAAGAGTGTCCTGGGAAGACGTGAAGCCTTTTATAGTCATTGTGGGCTTTAGATCCCTTCTTATATGGATAGGGAATCAACAGCAGTTATTTTAACTTGCATAATTTTTGTTTTTTCAACTTCTAGTGTACTTGTGCATGTATGTGTGTATGAGTATGTACACACAATGTACTGTTAACATTGTGTCTGCCTAAACTCAAATAATGCAGTAGTGAAATATTTGGCACTTTTTCTTTAGGTATAGAGGCAAATTCAAGTTCAATTTGGATGTTTCTTTATGAACTGTCTAAGAAATATTTCCACTTGTTACATAGTTGCATAGTAGCAAGCTGCCAGTGGGCAGTTCAGCGTAGACAGTCACCATCTTTATAAGACAATGTTTGTGCTAGTTTTTGAGTATCTTATTGCATTTTCCCCTTATCAGTACATTTAATTAGAGGGAAAATTTTTAATGTAGATACCATTTGTGACAAGGCTGTAAAAAGCATTAAGCATACCAAAAACTCTCTAACTTTAACCAAATGCTCAACAGAATTACACCAGTTGGGTTTTGGTTCAGTTTTGAAGAAACACAGAAAAACCATGTAGGAAGTGACAGAAATATATTGCCGAAGAGTCTGTCATGATGGACTTTTAAAATACTTTTACCTGTCTCGAAATAGAAAGTCCCTACAATGTTTTATTCTTACATGTAAAGACTCCTGCAGATTTGATGTCTGGACATGTTTTCAGGAATACGTTATGACAGCAGGGTGTAATGGCTACTACCATGTACCCGTGTACCCTGGAGTTGGGAGACATGAGTCAAATTCCAACCATTGGGTGAATTCTTTACCCTCTCCGAGCATGGATTTATTCCTCATGCTTACCTCAAAGGATTGTTGTGAAGATTAAATGAGGTTTTTTCTCCCAGCACACTGATTTGCAGATAGTAAGATTTCAAAATATAAGCTCTCATTATAACTGTCTTGATCTTCATCATCATCATCATCATCATCATGATTATGGTACCTGTGTGGAAGGGGAGCATTGTCCATAGTAGTGCTTCAGTTGTATCAAGTTACAATACAACTCAAAACCCCTCTAACCAGTGAGGCAAAAGGGGCTATTAGGGAAGGGCACTGGCATTTGATTTGTATTCCAGATAATGCATTTTCATTTCTCATTTTATTTCTTTAACACACATCTACACATTTTTACATTCCTATTCACACTTGAGTTTAAGCATTTCATTTTTTCTCGTATTTCGTATGGAGAAAAAAAAAGCAATGAAGTGCCATTTTTGCACATATATCAGAACCTGAGACACATGTAGCTATGCTTATACCTGTATCCAGAGATCTCGTACACCTAACCCGACAACATTAAGGGTATTCAGAAGAATTTCAATCAAATTAAAAGCATGAGAGAGCCATGGTATGAATCAATAGGAAACCCTTTATGTTAATTATCACGATTACAGTGAAAAGAGAAAAATAAAGACCTTTAAAAAAAGCTTTATACCAATTTATTTGAACAAATCCTCATGGGCATGTCTGAATAGCCATTGATGCTGCACTTTGTCCCATTTGACTAGCACTTTTGAAAGCACTAGAAATGCTGATTATTCTATGTTGTTCTTGGGAGATTTGCAAACTGCTGCTGGTTGAAAAGGAGATTTTACATGTATTGACTCAAACAGAATAGATGAAAACTTAAAGAATATGTATACATGTGAATGAGTATTTTCTCTCTAAACTAGTCACTTACTCTAATAATGATGCCACTGATCAAGACATGTTTCAAAGTCTTTTCAATGGAGAATAAGCAATATTGATCTTTTGAGGGTAATTTGGATTTTTCAGAAATTTGTAGAAGTCATTCAGAACCAACTTTTACAAATAAGATGAATAACAAGGAAGATGAATAACAAATCTAATATTTGGGGTGAAAAATGAGATATAAAATAATAAGGCTAGTTGTCTTTTATAGATAGATTTCTTATGTGGAAAGTTTTCTTTTTTAATAGATTTCCACAACATTTTGAAAAATGGCAGCATCATTGCAATGATGTGTTAGCCTCTAAAGTGGTTTCTTTGAAGGAAAAATACTCCATTAGATGTATACGTTCTGTTCTATTTAAACTTCAGTCTTATATTCTTACTATTGTACTTAATGAACAATTTATCTCATAAACAGTAAATTTGTTCATTGGTTTGGGACTATGTTCCCACTGAGAATGCATAGTTAAAGTAACTGTGAACATGTTGTTCGGCAGGGTTTGTTGGCATCTGATGGTATTAGCATTCAGATTTCTCCATACATTGTTTTAATTAACATTTGTCAAAGTTAAGTATTTATATAATACCTGGTTGATAACGGACAGATTCCAATTTGTGGCCACACATAAAATATATAAAAGTATATTACTATGGCACTTTTTATACAAGAGACAGCAGTTCCCATCTCTGTTAGCCCATTCCCCCTGACACCCTTCACTTGTTTTCCAGCAATGGCAAGCCGGCAGGTGGACATTGCAACTCAAGGCTGGTTCATTGGTCTAATGTGTGCTGTTGCTCTCCTTATCTTAATTTTGTTGATTGTTTGCTTCATCAGAAGAAACAAGGGTGGTAAATATCCAGGTAAGAAATAAACATTAAAATTGCCTTATAATGCTGCATAATGATCCATTGAAGTAATAAGAAACCATGAAGGTACATCATGGAGATTGCAATAAGTGTATCTTCCCAGAGCCATAAATTTAGACTCTATTGAAACAATTTTTTGTCTTTTTTTATCTAATGGGAACCTAAACATTGTCAAGGATCAGAAGGCATTTGGGGGGAGTAAATGAATCTGTTCTTTGAAGATATTAGTGATTCTGCTTCCTTAGGCTGCACTTAAGCCATAGGTGCACCTACAACCAACAGACAGTGAGGGGGAAGGTACCTGAAGTCTTCCAGAGGAAATAATGCATGAACTGGGTCTTGATACCCACCATGATGTTTAACACTGCCTACAGGGTTAATGTTATACAGCCCACAGAGTCTGTGTAAAAGTATTTTCTGCATATTTCAGAGTGCACTCTTTAAAACTTTGAATAAGGAATTGAATTAATAGATGAAAGTGGATACTGTGAGTTGAACACCAATAAACAATTTTTTTTTTTAAAAGATGTCATTTGAAATTTTAGTTAAAGAAAGGAAGATGCCCATGCTGACCCTGAAATCCAGCCTGAAGATGGCACTTTTGGAGAATACAGGTGAGCCTCTGCTGCGACTCCATCCACCTTCCCGGCCCCACAGGCGCTGCCCTCCGCCTCCCCTGCACTGCTCGAGGCCAGGGACCAGGCTCTCCACTGGGATTTTGCATTTTCCTCAAATGTTGGTTTGCATAAACGCTTCCCTCACAGTTAAAGTCTCTCACTTCTCATTAAAGAACAAATTTCTATTTTAGTCATTAAGTTGAGGGCAGAGTATCTTTCCACTCTGAAACATCCTTTAGAGGCCTTGTTGTATATAGATCCACCCCAGCAAAACTAGGAAGTTGCAATAGAGTTAAATCTACAACCAAAGACCCTCACAAACCTTCATTGTATGCCAAAAGACACCTAATAATGTTACAAAACCAGCTCTTTGCAAAAACCGTGTTGCCCTGGCTGGTGTGGCTCAGGTGGTTGGAGAATTTTCCCATAACAGAAACTGTGGGTCTATCCCTGTCAGGGTGCCCAGAAACAACAGTTGATCTCTCTCCGCCCCGACCCCCAACCCCCACCCCCAACCCCCACCCCTGCCCCTTCCTCTATTTCTAAAAGCAATGAAAAAAATCTTAGGTGAGGACAAAAAAATAAAAAGTAAAAAAGCAAATTTAAAAACCAATATGTTACTGTTTTAATCTTGGATTTCAGAAACTTGTTTTTCCAAAACAAATGTATAATTCTCCCCACCAATCATAAGAATGATGTAGTATGATTTAGAGGCTGTGATTTAATTATTAAATATCACAGCTCTGGAGGCACCATGATAACTCACAGTACTTTGATAAGACAATCTTCACTTGGCTCCATTATTAAGGACAAATTTTAACATAAGCTCTGTATGTAAAATTTTAAAAATAAAAAGGAAGGAAGATAGGAAGAAACTTTAAACAAAGGTATTCTTGCCTAGGGGTTATAAGCTTTCTAAAGAAAGATAAGTGATTACTTTAAATATGTTTTAATATATATATATATATATATATTGTCATGTAAAATTGGGATTTTGGTGTGCCAGAAGAATATGTCTATTTATAAATACCTTTACTTTTCCTTTTATAAGCCTCTTGATTACATAAATATAATCTTATAAACTAGACACCGAACCCACTTTAGGGTTTTTTTTTTTTTTGGCCAGAAGAAAAGGCTTTTAGGTGAAATAAAATATTTCACTTTGTGATTTCCAGGTGACATTTATAGATATTTGTATTTCTTTCTACCTGTCTCTAAAGCTCATTTTTTAGTACTTTCATGTCATGCTGAGGGGGAGAAATAATACCAAAGATAAGGAGATAATTGAATTGATTGGGAACCTTTGACAGGATTGGTCTTGATACCAGTTTTCATGCAGTACCAGTGTTCTGCATTTGTGTCTCAGCACCTGAACTTGCATATGTCAAACTCTTCAACAGAGATGACCATGACTTCTAAAACTTCTCAGAATTTCTATATCTCATGATATGGAGAAATGTCTAGTGTGGGTTGTCTTGACTTCAGATGTTGACTCTAGGGCCCAACGTCATCCCATCACACAGAACTCTCATAGCACAGAGCACCTGTGACAGCAACCAGGGCAAACGCATCTAAACTGGACCAGTTGAAATCATTGCCGTTTAATTCCCTCTTCCTACATGTTTCTCCTCCTAAAACAGGGAGAGCTGATAATGACTAAGAGTGCTTGCTGCTAAAATTCTACAGGATATGCAAACACTTGCTTTTATATATTGTGTTGAAGCTAAATCTTTGCGAAAACCTTGCATTTGCATGATTGAAAATAAAACCATTTCACTTCATACATTCTTAGCATGATGGATTTTGTTCACGCTTAAATGAACCTGGGACTGTATTGTTCATCTTGTGCCTATCAAATGTCAACTTGCTACTATAGATGTGAAACCATGAAAATCTGCTGTACTGTGACTTTCTCAGGATAACTATGCTGCTGGCTCTGTTAAAACTGGACAAATAAGTTGGATGAATGTGAACTACTAGGAATC